TAGGTTCACATCATGCAATAACTGTATTATTTGAGTAGTCTCTCGCCTATTGATTCCCCTGTTTTACATTCTATTTGAGACTAGACTTGCTATGGTAGAGACTTCACGGGTTCACGATTAGCCATCAGATAATATTCCTTCTCTTATGGCATGGCTCCGGTATATATATTCACTGAGGAGAGTTCATAGCATTTGGTCGACCGTTTTATTTGTTACGTGGACTGGGAAGTTCCATTCCATAGTTCGTTTTTCCTTATGTATCGCATTCAAGTTTGTATCCTATTGGCGCATTGTTGGCATTATACGAGATCTTATTCAGTGTTTGAGGTGGCTTATTGCCTGTGTAGCTTATACTAGGTGAGACAAGACTATTGGACCTGAAATCAGTGCAATCATATTTATATAAGGTATAATAAGGAACAAATATCGCTATTCTGTTCAGAATGAGGTAATGGTCCTTGTCAAGAGAAGCGACTCCATGATTTGATTGATTCGGTAGGTGGTTATGAATTTCTACGCATATTCTCTGTCATGGAAGTATTGTGAGGATTGAAATCGGGCTTATTTGTATTATGAGGTGTATTGCGAGCATCGGGTTCATGAAATTCCAGTTATTATGGTCGGAGGATATTGTCTTGGGCAAATGAGTTATGTGGTGCATGGTGTGATTTCTGCATAAATGCACAATCGTGTTTTAGCACAGTGTGCAGTGAATGATACGATGTTTGTATGTTAGAATAAGGTATTATAAAGAAATTCGAAGATTGGAATTTGGTTCTAAGGCTTATTAATTGAATAAAAAGAGAGGACCTTCCGTCCGGCTCGAGCTGAGGTGCCAAACTGGATGGTGATGGCACGGGTAGGTGTACAAGGTGTTAAACAGTAATTTTGGATAACTCTAGAGTAGTTCTTAGCACGTTCGAGGACGAACGTATATTTAAGTGGGGGGAGAATGTAACGACCCGACCGGTCGTTTTGAGCTCTAGCGTGTCATTTGGTAGTTTGAGGCCTTGAGTATCTTCACTTTAGGTATTATGACTTGTACGTATGGTCGGAATCGAATTTCGGGGTGGTTGGAGTTGATTCGGGAAGAAACTTCTAAATTCAGAAGCTTTAAGTTTGAAGAATTGACTAAGGTTTGGATTTATAGTAAACAACCTCGGAATCGGGATTTGAAGGTTCCAATAGGTTCGTATGGTGATTTCGGACTTGGACGTAAATTCGGGTCGAGTATCGGGTGGCCCGGGAGTATTTCGGCACTTATCACGAAAAGTTAGTATTTTGAAGGCTTAATAATTTCCTAAGTTTGGATTGGAATGGATTTTTATGTTATCGATGTCCGTTTGGGATTCCGAGACTCGGAATAGTTTCGTATGGTGATTCTAATCTTATGAGCATGTCCGAACGTTGATTTGGAGGTCTGTGGGTCATTTCGGCATCAATTGGCGAAAGTTGAAAATTTGGATGATTTTGAGAAGTTTGACCGGGAGAGAAATTTTTGATATCGGGGTCGGATTCCGATTCCGAAAGTTGGAGTAGGTCAATAATGTCAATTATGACTTGTGTGCAAAATTTGAGGTCAATCGGACGTAATTTGATAGGTTTCGGTATCGATTGTAGAAGTTGAAATTTCAAAGTTTATTAAGCTTGAATTTGGAGGGTGATTCGTAGTTTCGATGTTGTTTGATGTGATTTGAGCCCCCCGAGCAAGTTCTTGTCATGTTTTGGGACGTGTTGGTATATTTGGTTGAAGTCCCGAGGGCCTCGAGTGGATTCCGGATGGTAAACGGATTGAATTTGAACTTGGAGGAATGCTGGAGCTGCTGTCATCTTGTGTAACCGCACCTGCGAAGTTTTGGCCGCAGGTGCGGAGCCGCAAAAGCGGCCAGAGGGTCATAGAAGCGAAACCCGCAGGCGCGGACCAGTGGCACTGAAGCGAAGTCCATAGGTGCGGGTCATTTAGCGCAGTAGCGCATGCGCACCTGCGGTGGAATTGGCGCAGAAGCGGGCTGGGCAGTTGGGGGACCTCCACAGAAGCGGAAATTGTTGCGCACCTGCGGAACCGCAGAAGCGGTCCAATGAGCGCAGGTGCGAAGGTCGCCTCGGCAGAATATATAAGTTAGCCAAATCCGTTTTTGGCTCATTTCATCTCATTTTCCTCCATGGGAGCCGACCTAGGAGCGATTTTGGAGCACCATCTTCATTATCAATCATGAGGTAAGTGATTTCTACTAGTCGTGAGTTAAATACAACGTTTATACATGGATTTAGACATGAAAATTTGTAGAAATTTTGGATTTTGAAGAAAAACCTAGAAATTGGTATTTTTAGATTTTGACTACGAAATTAGACATGGAATTAGATGGAAATTATATTTTTGAGTTCTTGAGATTATGGGTAACGTTTTCCTCCAAAAATTTTAGGAATTCGGGCACGTGGGTCTGGGGTGAATTTTAGGATTTTTACCATTTTGGGTCGGGTAATTTATTTGATAGTATAATTTCGAATTATTGAGCATGTATTAATTATTTCATATAACTTTTGGATAGTTCCGGATATTTCGGCATCGAACTGAGATTTTTACGCGACACTGTGATCGAAAAGTGGGCTTTGAGACAAGGTAAGTCTCTTGTCTAACCTTGTAAGAGGAAATTTATCCCATATGTGATTTAAATTAATAATTGTTGTTAATTGTGGGGGCTACCTACGCATGAGGTGACGAGAGTCCGTGCCTAGCTACTAATTATGCTATGTCCAGGTAGTTTAGGACTCAAAGCATGACTTATGTAATAATTGCATTCTTTATTTAACTAAAGTACTAGAATTATATTGGAAATTGTTAGAGGAAATTAAAAGATCGAAATTTCATATACTTGAATTTTTGTGTAAATTATTTAATTGTTAATAGAAATTGTACATCCTTATGTATTAACCCTATTATAATAACTTCTCATTCCGGAGATTCATAAGAAAATGTCATCCTTTCTTGTGGATTGGGTCGAACGCCTCGGCAGTATAGATGCATCTATGGATCGTGTCGCACATCCCTCGGCAGTGTACACGACACTCTAGATCGGGCCGTACGACATCTGCAGAAATCGTGCTTAATAATAATAATTACACGATACCGAATTTGTATCATGTGTTTTATACTTGTTTATTTCATTTATTTACTCTGCATCATACTTGCTACCTCTTTATTGTATCTTATGTTGTTGGACCACTAGTAAGTGTCGATGTCGACCCCTCGTCACTACTTTCTCTAGGGTTAGGCTAGATACTTATTGGGTACACATTGCTTACGTACTGATGCTACACTTGCTGCACATTTTTGTGCAGGTACATATATGACTAGTGGCCTTGTGAGAGCAGAGGCGTGTATGCATGCAGGGACTTATGTGAGCTGCATTTCATAGTACGACTCGCAACCAACAGAGTCTCCCTCAGAGTATTTATATTTTTCCTGTCCAATTTGTATTCCGGACGGACGCTGTATTTTATTTTATATTCCTAGTTGATGCTCATGAACTTGTGACACCGGGTTTTGGAGCGGTTATGGGTTGCACTGTATGGAAATTGTTGTAAAATATTATCTTTTACTCTGTAAATTCCATCTCCTACTATTTTGTGGAAGGAAAAATATGATTTTTAAAATATTAAAACGAGAATCAAATTGAGTATTTATTGTTGGCTTGCCTAACAGCGGTGTCTGGCGCCATCACGACTTTTAATGAATTTTGGATCGTGACAGGTAGGTACACGCGCAGAGCGCATATTATAAGACTAGTAATAATAATAGCAATAACAACATAAACTGCACAAGAACAATTGTACTAAATTACAAAACACTCAATTTTGAAACAAAGGCAATATATATCACAATTAGCATTTGTTGTACCATCACTTGTACTATAGCAAATAATGTATAGGTTATATCGAATGATTGAAAACATGGATAATATAGTGCTACAAAAGAGTAACGACATATGAAGATGTTAAGCAAACGGATTTGTACATACCCTGAAGACAATTGTTGTATTTTCTTATAAAATATCAAAGGCCTGATCCCTCGAGATATAAAACAATAACTATATATAATAAATTAAAAACATCTTATATTAATGCAACAATAAATAAATTAATAAAATAAATATTTAACATATATATACGCTAATTATTGTAAGAACTTTTACATTACTAGTGTCAGGGGCGGGTTCACGTGAACTCATCCTCCTCCCCCTAAATCATATATATCACTAGTAAATTTCAGGTCAAATACTTAAATTAATATGGGTGAACCCAAGTTCAAATGAATACTTTAGTACATTGGTAAGGAGTTGAACATTCTCTAAACAGTGGTTCAATCTCCGTATTCTTTTTTCTTTTAAATTATATTTTAACTAATAAATATGGTTAAATCCCCATGCTTTGCCGCTTTTTCTAATTAAAAACACTTTTTGTTTCTTTTTTCTCCTTTTTTATTTGTTACATATTTTTTATTTTCCTTCTTTTTTTACTCTTTATTTTGACGTTTAAAATTGCTACGTCAAAAATACATCTCTCAGATACGTTTAAAATTGCTACGTCAAAAATACATCTCTCAGACACCCTCTCCAAAACTCGGGTCTGTGACGCTATGCTGCACCCATGCTTTTGAAATACTGGATATGCCCTATTAATAGTGTATGTTAATATGTTATCTATGTAATTGCCCTATATTTTATTTTACTAATCCACTAATTTATTAATAATTATAAGAACTTTTACACTATCAAATCAATATATGTTATTCTTAACCGGTTATAGTATGCACTTTGCCTTATATTTTTATTTACTAAATTCACTGATTTATGAATAGTCAAGTGTAATTATTGTTTAAGTGGTTTGATAATGTAAACTTTTTGGTATATATAATTTAAATTCATAAAATAAATATTTGACAATCCAAAAATATTTTACAAAAGGTACAATGGCAAAAAACCAGGAAAAGAAGATTCTGATCAAACAATAAAAAGAGGTCCCGCAGCTCCAATTAATAAACCCTAAAACCCTTCCCTCGCCTTTGATTACTTGCCGTACTTGCGTTAACATTTCCGGCAGAGAAGATGGCGGAGATGGACTTGGACTTCGACGGCCCAAGTAAAGCTTCAACTAGGCCATCCCGTTTTGCTCCCAAAAGCTCTAAATTGAAGCCCCAACCCCAACCAGTAACCAAACCCAAACCTGAAACACCGTTATCATCTTCTGATCCTCCTATTCCGACTAAAAAGGAAGAATTATTTTCAAAACCCTCAGTAAAAGATCATCCAGCCGAAAACGGAGCCGCAGTGGGTAAAGATGACGTTCCATTGGATGAAAACACTACGGGAGACGACGTGTCAGAAGAAGAACAAGTCGCCATGGATACTGATAGCGTTGACGATGAAGTTGTTCGTGAAATTGATGTGTTTTTTACCCCTTCCTCGGATCCTAACTCTCAGGTATATTTATCTTTTATTTAATTAGCTGATTTATTTGTTGAATTTGCTAAATTTTCTATTTGCTAAGTATTAATTTCTCTTTTTTCGTCAGCTGTATGTGTTCCAATATCCGTTGAGGCCCGTATGGCGTCCCTATGAGTTGGAGGAAAGATGTCAAGAGGTGAGTTACAGAAATTGCTTTTGGTGTTTCTTACGCAAAATAAATCAGTAGTATCAATCATTAGATAGAAAATGCTGGTTTTAAATGACCAGTTTGGACGTCTGAATCAGATTTTATATATTTGCAGGTGAGATTGAGACCTTCAACTGCACAAATGGAGGTTGATTTGGCAGTAGATTTAGATTCTAAAAACTTTGACCGAGACTCTGTTCATGCAGTAAAGATGGAAAAGCAGGTTCGTTCGATTTATCCTCTAAATTAAAAGAGTAAATCTTTGAGCTAATTTCCTGCGTTATTTGCTTCCATGCATATGTTAACCTTGAGCCGAGGGTCTATCGGAAACAACGTCTCTACCTGCACAAGGTAGGGGTAAGGTCTTCGTACACACTACCCTCCCCAGACCCTACTTGTGGGATTGTAATGGATATGTTGTTGCTGTTGTTGTTGCATCTGTTAAACTTCAATGTTGGTCTCTATATATTTTTTGCTTAAAATGTTGATGAAACTGCTTGACTTCCTCTAATATCTGATCTTCCTTATTATGTGTCTATCCATTGCTCCACCTTATATTCCGTTTAATACCATTTGTTTTGGACATTCTCCTTGCTATTCATGGACATGTATTATATATCTTCCAGCTTCATGGTTGTATCTCTGCTGTTAGGTGTAGGATAAGGAGGTTGACATTTAGATTCTGGAAACTCTGCACTTGATATTTGTTCCCTTAGCAGGAATTAGATGGGATAGGCCCCTGCAAGCACGGGCCCTACATTTTGTATTATACTGTATTTTATTTTGGCAAAATACTATATGAATGTCAAAACCCAAGCACAAGGGAAAATTATATATACTGAGACGTTTTTTTACTAAAATTTGCCAGTGGTGTTTATGTACACGCTGTTATGATCTTCTTTAATCTCATTTAATGTAATGGTTGTGGATCAGATTATGTGTCTGGTTTATTACTGTGTGCAAATCTTTCATAAAACACAAGTACTGTAATTAGTGGGATTGTAGGAGCAGGAAGTTGTAATTCCTGATTTTTCCAAAGATAGTGGGCAGCCAATAAATCCATACTCAGGCTGCCAGCATTTGAGAATTGATGAATAATTCTTATCCAAATGAGTGCCACGCCTGTTTTAACTTTCTTTTCTGGGAAAATAAAATTATCACTAATTCATGAGAGAGGTCTCACTTTTTATAAGCACAACTGATACATGAGAGAATACATTGTTATCAACTAACATTAAAAAGCATATACAGAGAGCATAGACTTTTTTTTTGTGGAAATAAAAAGTTTTATTAATCACCACCAAACAAATACATTTACAGCCATCAAACAGTCATCAAAACTCCATTAACAGAACCCAGCCAGTCAATCCCATCCTATAAATCTGTATGTCCCCTCCCCTTCATTCATCTATACATTTTGAATCTATACTACTACACTTTGCCTATTTGTACAAGACTTCTATCCAGCTTGTCCCATTGCTATGTTTTCCTCTCTTTATAACATCAACGCATCCATATTTACACTCGTACTTGATCTGTTCCAATGTCTTCTGTGGTCTTGGCACTTTTTGCAACCATAGAGCTTCATTTGGCCTTCCATATGTGATATACCACAGCTGCACGTGCTGCCTGTACAAATGCTCTGCCTATCTTCCATATAGCTGCTCTAGCCATCCTGCGCCTCAACCGATTTACCTCTATGTTATGTATGCCCATCCCAAGCCACAACAAAACACCTTCTAAGCACAGCCTGATACCTTACAAAGAGTTACACTCAAACTTCTAAAGTATATTAGAAACTAAAAATTCCAAGCATTTATCAGAAGTTATAAATGGGAAAAAAAAATTAATTGCCTGTCGTTAGCTGAAACCATAATGTTGACACCATTAGCACAATAAACATACACTCATACTCCTTGGCGTGTTCTTTTCTTTGTAGTCCCTTGTGTATGATCTAATTGATAGACGTACTATTTGATTGTACATGTTAAAGACGTTCAAGTGCCTAATAACAACAAGAGATCTCCATAAAAACGGAGAGGAAAACAAAAGAGGTGGCGGGAAATTGGATGCCAGGGAAACTGCATCACCAAGATAATTTTCCTTGAACAACAAAACTATAAGAGAATACATGCACCAAAAGTTAAAAGTTGTACGATGTCTTAATGTATCAGCTAAGGGAGAACAAATCAAAGAAGAATGTAAGAATAGACCGGAATATTGATGCTACATGGTAATAGAAGATGGCTTAGATAACACTGAGCAGTGCTGTTGAAGCTTTACTACTGATAACATAAAGAAATATATGAGACTATGTAGTCTGACAAAAAAGATTGCTAAAGTTTTTTAAAGATCGCTGTTAAAATATAACCTATTTGAAATTCTGATTTCACTGTAAAAGCCTAAATTTACTCAGGTGTTTTCTTACCCTGATGATTTCCTCATGAGGTAAAGATATGATTAAGAATCCCATCTAAATAATGGTGTTGCAATAAAATTATAATTTCAAACGTAGGCGTAATTAAAAGATTCAAGCTTTTCAATAAAACAAAGATGACAATGCAAGTAAACACCAAGTGCCATCACGTTATTCAGATGAGCTATTAGACAACAACTAAATGACGTAGAGTTGACTGAAAGTTGGTACTGACTGACCTAAACAGAGAACTCTCATGAAAGAATGCTTATTGTTAGTTGACACACTTGTATTTACATAGAATGGTTTGATCAGTTAAGTTAAAATGAACTTTCAACATTATAAACTATAATCTAATGAATAATGAGTGGTTCTAGTTGTTTTGAGGACAAAATTATCAGTTAATATAATATATATGGATGTAGGCCTCAGAGGTTAATTCTATTTTGGCTAATACTATTTTGGCTTCAGGAATACAACAAACTTTCGTGGCATGATTGATACAAAGATCTCAATGAGAAATTGTTGAACTCACATTTGCCTTAGCTAATCTACTCGGATCCCCATTTCATGAAGTCTCCAAATTGGAATCCAATTCCTCATCTTGGCACATCTCGCATTGAATCATTTTTTCCGGAGTCAAGACAACATCAAAATCCTAGAATGATCCTTAATCTTTGACGATCTAACTATTTCTGATTCTTATTCAAAGAAAAAGAAGAATGACGTGAGAAGGAAAAAGCATGGAAATTGGAAAAAAGAAGGATGATTACATTGAAATTATGAAATAACATTAAAAAATAAAGCAAAAAAAAAAACAAATGTGTGTGCCATTTCAAGTTTTTTTAGCTAGAAGATAATATTGAAGATATGGTCACATTTAGTAAAACTTTAGTTAAATTGATAAGCATAAAGAGGAGAGTGGCCGACAGAGAAATGTAGGCAGCAAAACTTGGTCATTCAGGACCACATAATAAAAAAAAATTAGACATGTTTCTTTTCTAATAATTAGTGAGATTTATAAATGTCTCTCTCTATACGAGCCCCAAAATTTCCTGATAGTTGCAGCTGCCCCAGGATGGGCTTAAGTACTATATAGCTCTATTTCTGCTTACCTATAGAATCTGACCGAGAGCAAGCATCCCCAACCTCTACAACAATCACTAAAGGGAATTCATTCCTTTATTTCAGTTGAAAAGAGCATTGGTGTACTGTGCATTATAATTTAAACTTCATCTACTTTTTCATTAACTTTTTCCTTTGACAGAAAACTCAGTCCCCTTTTCCAATTGTGGTCGAGTTATTTATAATCTGGTACATATTATTTGTGCTGTCTAAAAGATTTCTCAGCAAAATCGATATCAAGACAACCAGAGGTTAAATAATACAAATAAAACATGTGCACAAGCACAGTAAAAAACCCGAAAGCATGTGAATAGACCAACATATATATAAAACAAAATACATACTACCTGACACCTTGGCAGGCTTTGACTGCTTTCCTGCCCGTGGAAGTAGACCAAAAAATACCTAAGACAACAAGAAGAGAATTGAGCAAAAATTGAAAGGAAAGCATGCCTGGATAAGAAGATGAAGAGATGAAAAGAAAGAGAGTTGATCGTCTTTTTCTTTTTCTGTTTTCAAGATAATAAAGATGAACAGATGCTTCTAGAGTTTTATTTTTTATAGCATATAACCATTGTTAAAAAAGCGGCAGTGCATCTACCAAGGTCGAATCCTTTGTTGATACGGTATCGCCTTTTTAATAATTGTTGTACCATCAGCGGTGTCTGATATAGCTTACGCGTCGCTCGTTTCTCCTCCATCTCACTTCTTTAAGCAATTATGGCTCAAAAGTCCACAATGTGAACAAGATTCTGCCAGAAAAAAGTATCCAATTAGTCACCAAATGTAGTTTATTATTTTACATTCAATTCCGCATAAAATAATACATAGATTCCCACAAAACTTGATATGTTTATTATTTAATAACACAAACAAAACATTGCATCATTCTGTTACGATTAATTATTCCAATACTTCAACCAAAACGACCCCTTAGACATTATTAAGATGAAGTGAGCTGAAGAAAACACCTTCCCTTCTATCCATGTAAATGCAGAGAAACAAATTGAAATAAATCAGAAGCAGATTAGAATGTGGCTCAAATACGAGAAAATTAGAGGCTCATCCATTCTGATATCTCCAATTTAAAAAATGACAAAACATTCAAATACAAACAAAGATGGAAAATTGTCAGATAATCGGCGCAAACCCTAGTTTCTTTTCAAGCTTTTCTTTGAGTTTCACAAACAACAAAAACTCTGAACAACAAACCAACAAATACCCTGAAACAAAATAATTAGAGTCACCCATATGAAGGAGAAGAAATAGAACAGTATAACTAACCTTTCAACCATGTGATTATCTTAGTGGAGCAAATGTGAATCTGCGAAAAACTCAGCAAAAAACTCAATTTCCTGTTAAAATATCACTTTATATTCCAGAAATTGATATTTAGTTTATGAAAGCAAAAAGCACCGTAAAAATCACGAGGGTTAAGCGACAAAGGAGGAGAAGATGGGCGAATTTTGCAGAAAGCAAGAGGGTGAAGCAGAGCAAAATTACGGTATTATGGTAAAGTAGAGCAAAATTACGTAAATAGTCTTTCCCTGAACAAATCAGCTAGTGCAGGGACACAGCAGTAATTTTACCTAATATAGGAGCACTGCAAATACCAAATTGCCCTCTGTCGGCAAGCAGGGATGTCGACGGAGAGCTGCTTCTTTTCTCCTCTATATAAGTAGTATTACAGTTCTAATTGTTTTACCAATAATCTGATTGTTTCTCATTTTTCAGACTCTTTCTACATCATGGATGCCATTATCAACTTGCACCTCTGGATATGCTGTTGGGGTCCTCATTGGTGATAAGGTAAACCATTTGTTGTTGATGTGCATCTCCAACTTCTAGTTTTATAGAGTTCTGATTGACAGAAAATTAGTTTTCCGCAGGTTGTGTATGTGCTTATACATCTCTAGCTTTTGCCCTTTTCTTTTTCAAAAACTAATTTGGACAATAACAATGTTACTCTTTCAACTTCAAGTTTAATCGAGTTAATTCTGTGTCAGCTTCAAGTTGAAGCAATTTATCCGCTGTCAAATCTGACACTACCTTACGTATGCAGTGGGGAACTGCTGTAATGCTTCTGGCTCTCATATTTACCCAAGCTCTGCTACTTAGTCTGTACTATATTAAAAGCACGAAAGCCTTTAGCAAAATGTCGTTCGCATGTTTTACCCTTTAAAATAATTTCACATTAGACAAAATAGTCATTTAATATTTCCTAATATCTAAGAATAAATATTTAATTATTTTTTATATATTTAGAAATAGATAATTAATTACTTTCCTAATATTTAGGATTTCTTTCCATTCCTTTTGGGTTTTGAAGTCCTCTCTTTCCTCATAGTTTAACGCATTCCTTTTTGTTACGTATTAAATTTTAACGGATTACCTGCCCACTTACAACTTTTTTTAAGATTTAGGAGTCCTCCCTCCCCCCTCCTCCCTTTATTTTAGCATGAAAAATATTTTTCCCATGTAGCTATCTAAATGCAAGAGATATGCATACTATGTTATTTTCTTGCCATAAATAATTATTAATTAATCATATCAATAAATTTGAGCCGNAATTAAATTTGAGACGTGGGATTCCAAATAATATACAGCATGAACATGAAGACGTCATATTTGTATACTTTAAATCACAATCTTTGAATGCTCCTCTCCTTTCTTTTTCCAGTAGGAGAAAAAAATTACTTTTTTATGTTACTTTTTTTCAGCTACTTTTGCGTTCCCGTTTTCAATATAGCTCCTTTTATCTGATATGCCACTCCTTGAAAATATAGAGTTACAATATACTTTTGGTGACTATGTCCATATTAATGTATTTGATGTATTATGTTTATATTATAATTTTACATTACAAAAAAAAATACTATTGATATGTAGGTAATCCTGGAAATATTTTATATGTTTAAATAAAGTATAAGCAAATTAATAATGTGGCTTTTTTATAGACAATTGCAAATTAAAAGGATGTCAGTTATGATTTTTGTTTACGATATCTCATGTATGATTATTAGTTTAAAATGACATATTTACAAATTTTGTATAGGTTATTCGGATCATTGCATTCCTTGACAAAAAAAAAATGGTTAGACATTCTACTTCCTCCGGTCCACAATAAGTGACCAATTTGCCTTCGGCACATCCATTAAGGAAATACTAAATTCTAGGCAAAATTAGTTAGTGTGACTAAACTACCCTTAATTAAATGTTGCATCATAGTTATAGTAGCACTTCTCTTCTTAAATCACTACATTATTCAAAATAAAATTTGAAACTTTTGCTAAAATTTTAAGAACGTCATTGAAAAAACAAACTGGAGTAGTTGTTCTCGAGTTTTTGAATGACTTTTCAGTTGTTGCTATTTAATTTTAGTAATTTAATGTGAGGAGTAAAAGACTTTTAGGGATACGTACATAAGGGTAATTTTGGAAAAACAAATTGAATTTTTTCTTGATTATATAAATGGACATTTATTTTGGACTAAAATAAAAAGGCATATTGGTCACTTATTTCAACCCTTTTCGTTAATAAGATGGACCTTGTACCAACTGGCCTTCCAGCACAGCAAATAGTAGGTCTGAAGGCAGGCGGCTCGTTAGGTAAATTGGCATATTGGTACGTTGTCGGCTGAATAATTTAGAGCATTGCGGGCCCCTCTTAAAATTCGCTTTTTGAATTTCGTCAAAACTGGCATGCGGGACCTCTTGCCCAAGCAGCCCTTATATTCTCAACCTCCAAAGCCCCCAGTCTTCAAGTGAACTCGACCTTAAAGAACAATCCGCAACTCTACGTTCTTCAAATGTCTCGCTCTACCAACATCGAAATCGAGGTCGCTGGACGCACCATACGTGCGAGGTTGATGAGGGAAAGAAATCCCCAGGTCGTGGAACTTGTTTGCTCTCATCTGCCGTTGACCAGCTTCGCGCTTCATCCAAACGTTTCTGGCGCGGGCTTCTTATTGCCTACCATGATCACACATACAGGAGAGCTATATGGTTGATCGCCACCCAGGGGCGGTCTATTTGTACGCCTCAGGGCAGTCAATCGTCTTCACATACGGCGATACAAACGAGAGCGCTCCCGTCAACAAATTCGCCGAGGTTCTCGAGGAAGACATGTCGGAACTTCTGACGATCGGAAAACTTTTTTATGACCACGCTCTTGCAACTGTTGAGCATAAGGTAATAGGCGCTACCGCCCGCCTGGACGGTGCCCACGACTTACCTTCGAGAGAACTGCCCCCTCCTGATGTCTTGCGGGTTATAGGCAGATGGAGAAAAGCTGAAGCTCTTTTCTTGGCCGAAGCTAGGCGCGCGCTCTCCGGGGAGCCTGATGAAATCTCTGCTAGCTTTTCGGGAGTTATCCCCAGTGGGATGGGAACCGGGGGAAACATTCTTCCAGTTTGGATGCATCAATGGAGCTACTTGATGACAGATGGGCCAAACACGCTTTATCGATTTGTTACCGACACGGAAATCCCCCATATGACACTCCCAATCATGGTTGACCTCTCCCGCAACCATCTACTGAGGCCTTTTAACCATTTCGACTTTCTGGGGGACCTCGGCCTCACTAAATTCAAAACATGGGGTGCGATCTATTCTGCTGCACTTGATGACCTGAATTCCCTTGAAGAGTTCAAGAGACTGACAATCGCGCTCTTGATGCTAGTGAATCTTTATCATCGAAGGGTTCAATCGCGCTTTTCGTTCTATCTTGGACAAGTTTTTTCGCGCGGCGGCAAAGATAGGAACACTCGCCTCGACCAGAATCTTGGCTTTTGAGCGGGTACTCCAAAACGATAGCTTGAATCCACTTAATATATGCTTTCCGTTTCACCTCGATCGGCAATAAGGTTGTATAGAGTGCCTAGCGTTTCCGGAATACAAGAGGAAACAGCGCGGGCACCAAACCACTATCATCTTTGTACCTCTATTTTAATTTAATGCATTAAAGTTCGACATATTCCCGCTATCTTGTTGTATGGTCTTATTAGTTCTGATACACTCGCGGAAACACATAGTCCACACTCATTTGTACTTCACATTCTTGCTGGCGGTCCGGCAAGTATACCGAAAAAATCACACTTTTCTTCGTGTCTGACATTTTTTACCATCATTATTTTTACGATTTTTTGTTATTGGTTGTGCGCCAAAGAAAGCAATAAAAGGCGGATAAAAACGTACATGTAGTAGAGATTTATTCGATACAAATGCAGCATACAGAAAAACACTGTATTAGGAAACGCCAAAATACAACAATAACATTTAATAATACTATTAATTCAAAATATGCTTTTCCCAGCACATACAATTTCTTCATATTTAAAAACTTTTTCACTCGGATCCTGTGGCTGATGCTGCCTGGTGAAGACATCGAAGGGCATACACTCGCCGTCAACTGTGCGGACCGATAACTCACCGGTCTTCTCGAAACAATTGCCGGGCAGGAACGCCACAAAATAGTTGTAACAAGCAGGCTCAAGAGATCCGGGTGCAGCACCCCCATCAACAATGGAGTTGAGTTTCTCAAACGCCTCGGTGCTTGTCACGCCTGCCAGGTATGGTGGCAGCGAGGTTACTTTTGCGGCTGAATTGCTACTGTTGCAAACGAGGCAGCGTCTCCACATACACCAGTCTGCTGTTGATCGATCCATATACATATAAAGAAGCTTGTCGACCGTCACAGTCTGATCGAGGTCCAGCACCGGGTAACCGCAGCTTTTCCAGAGGTCGAGATCACCGCGGTAGTCAAGTAGCGCCGCCTTCACATCCGGACCCAGGACTGTGACGAGAGAAAGAGCTTCGAATTGATGATTCAACTCATATGCTTTAGCGGGCCTGTATTGTGTGCGTCCCAAGCTGTAAAGTTTCTTCTGAGCATTTAGAGCACGACTGGAACGTATTTAAGGAACGTGGCCTCCCCATTTTTTATTGCTACGTGACTTTCTGAGGTATTCGAAATAAATAAAAAATGTAATCGGATCTCGATTGAGCGTATCCGAATCTGCCATCGTGCATGTAGTGGGAAGGGAACTTATCGCAGAGCATCATAATCGAAGCAGCCCCACTTCCGGTATTAGTGGCAGTCAATTGTGGTCCTGCAGATCAGCCAATCACGACAACATATAGTGAAATGGTGAATTCGATGCGCTAGCAAACAGGAACTTTCCACTAGCGATCGAGTTGTATCCTCGTGCCTGGACCGAATTCGATGCTTTTCAGATATTATTAATAATCCTAGTGGATTCTGACTTTAAAAAGCTGCCCTTCAGCCACGCGATTATATTCTATGTCCATTTCAATCAAGAGCACTGGAAAATCGACACGCTATAAAGCCAGGTTTTAAGAATTTGGAAAACGTGTTCAGAATGGCGAGCCGATCGGCCGTTGTGCGGATCACCGATGGTCANATGGCAGATTCGGATACGCTCAATCGAGATCCGATTACATTTTTTATTTATTTCGAATACCTCAGAAAGTCACGTAGCAATAAAAAATGGGGAGGCCACGTTCCTTAAATACGTTCCAGTCGTGCTCTAAATGCTCAGAAGAAACTTTACAGCTTGGGACGCACACAATACAGGCCCGCTAAAGCATATGAGTTGAATCATCAATTCGAAGCTCTTTCTCTCGTCACAGTCCTGGGTCCGGATGTGAAGGCGGCGCTACTTGACTACCGCGGTGATCTCGACCTCTGGAAAAGCTGCGGTTACCCGGTGCTGGACCTCGATCAGACTGTGACGGTCGACAAGCTTCTTTATATGTATATGGATCGATCAACAGCAGACTGGTGTATGT